GGTCTCAAAAGTCGCAGTTACAACACACATAGGGCGCACCGCACCATAGGGCGCACCGCACATTTTGAGGGAAAAAAAAGACGTTTAAGTGCGCCTTATAGTCGTGAAAATACGGTAATTATCAACGTTTACATGTAAAAGAGCACCACAGAAATGTTCACACCTTTAAACCTTAAGATATGAAGTGCATTGTTTTGTTCTTCTGCTGAACAAGGCAATGTATTGTTGCTTCTACTGGTTATACATTAAAAAAAAACACCTTAACGAGTCAGTGATTCACTTGAAAATGCAAACTTTAGCATGTGGATGTGGACATGGGAAGCTTTTTTTCCGCCTCTGGCCATCAGACAACTCTGAAAATTGAATATATGTGCAGTTATACTCACACTGGCAACCAATTTGATGAGTTGCATTAAGAAGTCGTACGCAAGGCATAGTGTAGTTGAGATTGATGTAAATCTTGTTTTCCATTGAATTGCAACTGACACCTAGAAGGAAGGAAAGAAAAAAGTAATAATCAGAAAAGGTTAAATTAAAGGACCTTTTATTTAGCTCTTTTTAAAAGCACTGTAAGGATTTTAAGTGATATGTGAGGTAATGCACCAGTGTTACACGGATAAAGGTCATATAACACTTTTTAGTTCTACTGAGCACTCAAAGTGCCTTACAGTACAGCCATGTTCACCCTATAGCAAGCACTAAAACACACACTGGCATGCAGATCGGAAACATGTGCCTTGCACAAGGGAACATGAGAATGCGGCAGGGGAAGGCTGGATTCCATCCTAATGCAAGGCGGCTGCCCTCAGACTACATTTAAGTCTAACAGCTCAAACTTTCTTCAAATAAGTCAGCTATTTGATCTAAAAATTGGGAGTGAGGAGTAACGGTTTAAAGTGAAAATCACTTACGCTTTATACTATTTAATACACATTAACTTCTGGTAAATAATTTAAGTATGTTTGCTATTTGAATAAAAAAAATAAAACTATTCCCAGAATATTTATGAGATTTTCTTTTTAAAAATCCCTAAAGGGCTGAAGATGGTTAGGGGGGATATCCATATTTATTCTATAACTTACTAAATGACATAATTAAGAATACATTATGAAAAGAAAAGGGATTATCTTCCATTAAATTGTGTATTATTTCCAACTTATAAATGTGGATTTGTTTGTTTTTATGTGTGACAGCGGGATTTCACTCAAATTAAAATAAAAATGAATGTAGGATTTCATTGTGGGACTAAATCTCCACCTTTTCACTGTGGGAAAAAAAATCACGAGCAGTCACGCTGATGCCAGGCTACAACACACTGAAGTTGGCTTCCGGTTCGGAGGTGTAGTTCTTTCACTTTGATCCACCTTTGATTTGATCAGCTCAGGATCAAAAGAAGCTAATTAAATGGTCAAACCCTATGTTTTACAAATAACGGATATTTACAGAAGTAAATTTTCCGAAAGGTTTATCCAGTTTTTACTTTTAGATTTTGAGTCCATTGTTTGAGGTTCCTTTTAAATCATGATAATAGCTTTGAAGGAAAAGCACATCCCTGTTTTACTAAACAAGGACTTCTTTTTAAACTTTATTAAGGCTGGGTTAAGTTTCAAGCTCCATAATATGCATTTAAACTCAATCTGTCATACAGGATAGCCTAGCCTTCAGATTTTATAATCAAAAGTCATCTGGTTTGGTGACAGACTGATTCAAATGTTTCCAGATCAGATAAAAAACAATAAAGAACCATAACAAATTTGATTAAAACAATTAAAAATTAAAGTCTAATAACGTTAAAAACACTAATATAAGCCTTGTTTATAACCAAAATAGCCTTAAACCGGTGCACCGAAAAGTCAACCAACTTCAGCTTTGTTTTCGATTAACCAAGACAACTGTCATTTAATAAGACAATATGTCTTTATTTTCTGTCTTGGTCTCAATTCAGAGGTATAAAAGTTATTCTCAGCCATGAAGGTCTTTGGTAAACCTCCGTAAATGATCTTAAAATGCAGAATAAACTTCAACAGGGGAGCTGTCGCTAAAGCTAACAAGCTTAGCATCCAGCTAGCTACGGCACAGAAACATCTACCTAGCGAGCGTAATAAAAGAAAGGGACATTTATAGTTATACTGGATATGTGGGCTCGTAAGTTCAGAACTAATTGTTAAACTTACCAGTGAAAAACAAACATATAGTCAAATATACAATCCAGTTGTGAGACAGCAAATCCATCTTCCTGGTTTGAAAAGCGGAGAAACAGCGAACTATGATCAGGGAAACATCCGCTTCCGGTTTTTGGTTCCGTGTTGTTAAATCAAAAATAGCCATTTCCTCTATTTTTTTTTTTTTTGTAAATTTTTTTTTTACTCCATAAAGCGTAAAAAAAAGAAAATAGTTAAATATTTTTATATTTCAGAGCTTGTGAACCTGAGCTTTCCCTGCAACACCACCTGACAACAGAGTGCTCCCTTGTTTTGATGTCCCCTATGGCCCAGCCTTAATGTCCATCTTCAAGAATCCAATTCTAAATTCACGTCCAGAAACCCTCTTCCTTTAACATTTTAATAACCACAGTATAACAGAAACAAAACAACACGATGCAGTTCTGTTCATAAACTGGAGCTTTATTATAGTTTCAGATGCAATAGAACAGTTAAACAGACTTTGAAATATTTATTTTGAGCTCAGACAAAGTGAAAAGCATGTTTTATATATAGGATTTAAGATAGGAGTAAAGGGTTGACACAGCAGAACTAACAAGAAAAAGCATTTTTATATCTTCTATCAACATGTTACGTCACTGTAAGCAGATTTAAGTTCAGACTCCAACTGTTTATTTCATCAGTATTATGTTGGATGTGTTTTGCAGAACATCTCATCTTAACGAAACTGGAGTGGGCTCACACGCAGACCAATCACATCCTTGCCAATCTCAGTCACCTGAAAAATAAAATTAAATCACAGAAAACAAGATCAATACAAACTGATTAAGGAACTTAATCGAAGCTTGTCAACACTTAAAATTATGTAATAAGTATTGCCGTTTATAAATTTAGCAAACTAAACCTATAATTATCAAAAAAACCAATACACCAAAAAATACAAAACCAATGTTTTTAAATACGTAAATCTTTAGGTTGCTCTTCCTAAATGGACTTCTGTATGGCTCTACAAAACATCTGTCATAAAACTTATTGCTGTAAAGTTTTAACGGTGGCTTTTCTGACCCCTGGAAACAGTTAAAAAAAACTCACTGAAACAAAAATCAAAGGTTTATAAAAAACCAAAAATGTATTTTGGTTTTTATGGCAGAATATGATCTTTTTCTAACGTAAATGCTAAACAGTACTGTAATAATCTAGACATTTGTGTGAAATAAAGGAAATTTAGTTAACCTACATGTTTTCCAAAATTTTCTCAGGAATTCATGTAAACTAGGGAACATTAATCAATCCTGAATCTTAAGATAATAAATTATATTAACCATAACTAACAATTGGCTTTTTAGAAATGTGTTTTAAAGGTTAAAGGGCTGGTTATCCTCCCGCAGCAGTGTGTCGCAGTGAGCTTGTCAGAGGTATGATGCAGATATTTTTTATTCATGCCCAATATCGAAGCGTGGTCTGCGCTGTGTTATTCCACACCACAACGCAAAAGGGACAATCACAAACTAGCTGTGGGTCTAGATACAGCCGAAGCAGTGAGGAATTAGGGGAAAGTTTGTGAGACAACAGAGGGACATGAGAACCAAAAAGAGCGGGGATCTAGGTGGAAAAAAGGGTTCCAGCGTTCTCTCCCTCACTCTTCTAGCAGGTCCAACTTCATGAGTCGTTTTCCACAATGGCAGTCATACAAACCAAGCCAGTAAGGTACCAAACAGGAAATACGCATAGTGTAGAGCAGATGTAGATGTGACCAATCAGAGGCCTCCTGTCTGCGGTCACCTACAATGTTGCAGAGGTGCAGCAGAATATCTGCGGAAGGGGCGGGCCATATCTGCCTTCACTGCGGCACACATGCAGACGACCTGGTTTCTAAGTATAAATCAGCCTTAAATGCCACTTACATTAAACTGTAGGTTAAAAACACCAACAATTTATAATTCATCTACTCTATTTTGTAAATATTTATCATAAAAACCCAAATACATTTTAAATATATATACTACAAGAATGTGGAGCAAATTATATCATTTGGACAAATTTCTACATTATTCAATGACAATCTAGGAGAACCATATATATAGATGTTTAATATGACCTTTTAAGCACTATGTTTTCTCAATGAAAAATAGAATTTCTAAAAGAATTTCAACCTTTTTATGACAACCATGTTTTCCTAGAGCTACTGTGGTAATCAGAATACCTTGGAGAACAAATATACTCTCCTTACCATCTAGTAAAACATGGAGTCTAGATCTGTGGATGCCAGTTGTCCTTGCCTACCTGTGTAACCCTGCAGATCTGGCCTTTATAAGGAGGGCAGTAGCAGGCTCCAGACAGTGGGCACTTCTCCACAGGACGTCCTCGGTAGAGAGGAACAAAGGAGGCGGCGCACAGATCAAAAGGATTGTGGGGGTCGTAGTTCAGCTGGTGGGTGTCTGTCAGGGTCTTCTCACAAGCTGCCAATATTTTGCGGGTCTAAAACACAGGGGATGGGGGGTAAATAAATAAATATTGGTAAAATGACAAATTGGTGGTTGTGAATGTAATAAAAGGAAACCATGGTAACCTGCTGTGCAACATCTGGCTTCGGGCCGAGCTCCAAGAGACGGCGTGCAAATCCTGCAGCTGTTTTGAAGTTGCGGAGCTTAAAGAAGAGGTTCAGGGCTGTGCGCAGCACAAGCACCATGTGGACTGGCTGCAGGTTACAGTGGGTGAAATAAGCAGCCATCTACAGAAAGAATACAGAAAAACAATCAGTTCAGAGCATTAAAAAATAGAAAAACAGAATAAACCAGTTCAGTATGATCATATCTTTACCTCACAAATCCTCTTCTGTTGATCCAACGTTTCTTTAGGCAACTTCTTCCTCTCCACCTCCATAGTCAGACCCACAATGTACTCTCTGCATATGGTGATGAGCTGCTGAGCCTAAAATACAGAGATGTGTACATGCATATCAGCTGAACTTCAGTTTGTTGCTGATTAATATCCAATGTCATCCAAAGAAGAGGCTTGCTCACCTCTGCTATCTCCTGCTTGTTATCAACCACCAGCAGAGGGACAGAAAGCAAGATGGCTCTGAAGCGTTCAACCGCTTCCTCGAACCTTCCAGCAGTAGTCAGCTGGTAGCACTGCTGAAGGCGGGAAATCAGGTCGGAGAGGCGGAGCCCCACAGCAGGCAGGCCCTGCTTCGCCCCACAGTCCTACAAAAACATCCAAGGGTCAGGGCATAGAAGGATCTACAGTGAACAGCTGTGTTATTAGCCAAGAGCCGTACCTTCCAGTTCCTCTGAGGATGGCCGCGCAGACACGGCAGAGACGGCAGCCCCAGGTAAGAGGTCCGCCCTCTAGACAGCGTCTGCATGAACAGGGACTTGTACGGAGCAAAGTTCACAACTCCAACCTGGTCATGAAGAAGCTGTGGGAAGAACATATCAGGGTGATTAGTTTATATGGACATTACTCGTTAGGATTGGTTTTATGTTAAAATAACTGGCATCAAATAGCAAACCAACAGGAGAGAAAAAAAAGGTCAAATGTAGAACGTACCCTCATAGCAGTTTCAAAGGATCCAGCCAGGATGTGATCAACTGGCAGCTGGGAATTGTTGCACCACATCTGAGTTGGACTCATGCCCTTGGTTGGCGGCACAAAGAAGCCGTCCTCTGTCGATCCACCAGCGCCCAGAGGAACATCCTGATGGTTGCAAGTAAAATCAGGAAATTTTAATGTTCATTTTCAACAAATTGAACCAAAACATAAAGGAGCTTCAGGCTAACACAATATATCGCTGATAATGAAAACCATTTAAGATTTCCGCTATAAACGTTTTTAACACTAATGCCATTTATCTGTAGGAGGGTTAACATTGATTCAATGTAAGAAGCTCCAAATCTGTTTCCAGTCTCACCAGCTCTGGAGGAAGTTCCACTTCTTCATCAATATCCCATCCTCCTCCTTCCTCCTTCCCTAAGCCTTCATCCCCTATACCATCCTGTGCATCAATGAAGCCATCTAGAAGAAGAAAAAAAAGAAAGAAAGATGTAATGATGTCAGCCAATCACGTTAAAGAAACTGAAGAAAACCTATCCGTTTCCAATTTACCTTCATCCATGGCGAGCTCAGCATCATCTCCCCACCCCTCACCACCAGCAGCCTCCATATCCAAATCTGCAGCCATCTGACCTGCTTTACCTGCAACATAAACACTTCTTAGGACCAATAACTCACAGCTTGGGTTAATTCACATATTCCTTCCCCTTAATCTTCATTAAACAAGGAAACATTATTCCTCTGGTGCAGATTAGTCTAATATTGTTTTATTAAATTGGATAGAATCTATAGATTTCAGTTGGAGAAATATGATTGGACAACAAGGACAAGAAAATCCCTCTGGAAACACCATGAATAAAGGCTAATTAATCATCTGAATGCAGTAAATATGCTGAGCAGTTACAGTGCAGTTGACATTAGTAGAGCAGGTCATTTTCAACATTATATTATCCACAAATTTCCCTTCATATTACTGAGATTTCAGTTTCTCCTGAGGAGAGTTACACCAGCATGATGCTGCCACCACCATGCTGGATAACGGCGGTGTGTTTAAAGTTAGCGTTAGTTTAGTCATGATCAGATTTACAGAGTGCACAGCTCACGGTAGCCCTGGCAACAAAGTCTGAGCAGCTGATCTCTGCAGCTCTATGGAGGAAATGCAGATTAATTGCTGCTTATGATAGGTTCAATCACTGATTAGCTAGTCTGCTCAGGTAGGTTTGAAGTACTTCCACACTCTAAACTTTAAGATGACAAATAAAACGGTGTTCTGAGATGTTCAAAGCTTGGGATCTTGTTTTATAATCTTTGTCTGATGTGTCCCTTGTTATTTACAGTCTGTTTGTTTACAGGGGTTCTCTAACATCTGAGGCCTCCATAGAGCAGCTGGGTTTACCAGTAGGAGGAGTTCTGCAGCCGACTGGTGGCACTAGATCAAATGAACAGGGACTGAACACAGATGACATCTGAATGTTATTTTCTACAAATTAACCACCACTTGCTGGTTCTCTTTAACGTCAAACATATGATCTCCCATATGTTAATCTAACTCAAACACCAACAATAAAATA